AGAGAGGAGCAGGGGGAGAGGAGGGGAGAGAGAGGAGAGGGGAGGAGGAGGAGGGAGAAGGGAGGAGGAGGGAGGAGGAGGATGAGGAGGAGGAGGAGGAGGATGGCGGAGGAGGAGGAGGAGGAGGCAGGAGGGAGGAGGAGGAGGAGGAGGAGGAGGAGGAGGGATGGAGGAGGAGGAGGAGGAGGAGGGAGGAGGAGGAGGAAGGAGGAGGAGGAGGAGAAGGAGGAGGAGGAGGAGGATTTTTAACATGGACCTTGCCAGGGAGAATCGGAGCCGGCATTGTGGCACCGCTGAAAAGACCTGGGCGGTGGCCGACGTAGAGACGGGCACCCCCATGCACCAAAACAAGAGATCAGTCGGAATCATCGGAGACAACCGCGACGGACCTGCTGCGGGCAGCTTGCACACGCGGAGCATCGCCATCCTCCGTTCGGAGGTTCTCCTGCTTGACACGCTGCTGCCCATCCTCGCCCCCTCCTTCCTTGAGGGGGGGAGGTCGGAAGAAAAGGCCCAACACCACCAGGCGCTCCCGTCTGTCCCACCACGCCGCCGTTGCCCTGACGACACAGCGAGACGACGGCGGATGGCGCGGGCGCCTGAGAGGGCGCACAGCCATGGGTGCCAAGGAAGTCGTCTGCCTCCTCTTCGCCAGTGTGGAACCTCCTCCTGCGGGCCTATGGGCCTCGGCAAGGGCATCAGCAGACAGGGCCGAGAGGGCGACAACAAGATTTGGGCGCCCTGGGCCAGCAGCACCACGAAAACCAGACGACGACGACGACGACGACGACGACGACGACGACGACGACGACGACGACGACGACGACGACGGCACCGACAGTAACGACGAGTCGACGACCTCTCCAGGCTGCTGGCACAGGGGGGGGCTCCTGCAGAGACTCATCAACAGGCGAGACCTCCAGGGTAACCCCATTAAGCCTGGGATGCTTGCCTCTGCATTTTCTGTACTTCCACCGCTCCAAGGTATTCCTGGTCGGATGGGTGCAACTTTTCCCTATCAGAGAGATGGGACCCAGGGTCGACACTGCCTTACAGGAGACGCAGACAAGGAGCGGTGAGTCATCGCTACACCGGAATGATGATAGCCTGTGCCCTAGAGCTGCTACCTTATTGAGACTGTCTGGGATAGTGCCTGCGCACCCCGAAGGATCTGGACAGGGGGTGGCACCGACAGCGAAACCACCTTGCCTTCTAATCCGAAGGCGTAATTACGCGACAACGCCAATACGTCCTACACCATTCCCAATCGTGCACAACATCTGAAACACTGGCCTGCTTGTCTGGCTTGGGTGGTCGGACCAGCTCAACTCCAGCGAGGTCCACTCGGGGCCACATTGGCATGAGCTTGGCCCCTAAACACTCCACGGCCTTGGCAATCCGAATCTTAAACTCAAACTCATCCTGCTGCGAGGGGGTTGGGGCAGGGCGGAGAGCGAGGCCAGCCTTGGCCGCCGCGTCAGCGGCGTCATTGCCGTTCTTGTTGGAGGCCTGCCCGGGGGTGATGATGTCATCGCTCTCAACCACGCGAGCTTTGACATTGTTCAACGACTCCCATTGGGCAGAAAGGGGGGTGAACGCCAAACCTGACAACGGGCGCCCGCATGGGAGCTTCAGAGGCCTGGGCCCCCCACAAGCTCGAACAACGTTCAAACAATCCGAGTGGCCCCTCGACGGGCCAGTGATACATTGGGAAGCCGCGTCAAAAGCCCCAAGCTCCCCCGCCTGATTAGTTTGGGAGAAAGGGGGCCAGCATGGGGAGAACCCAGAAGGGAACCATTTTCAGACAGGGCTGTAAACCCCCCGCCCGCTCTGGACAACTTCCGAATAATGTGCTTCCTGCAACTACCATCAGTAAACATGTCCCCTGAGACGTTGGTGCCGACCCGCTCGGGGTCGTCGGCCCAAGACACGACGACGCCGCCAGCATCGCGAGGGCGCGGCTACTGGTCACCAGGATGCGGGAAAATGCCTCTAGTACACGGGGCAACGCTCTCGGCACAATCAGGGTCAATGGCTCGGGTTGTGTCCTGGATGTCGTTTTTCACCACCTCGTGTCTCGTGCCTTGTACAGTAGGGCAGAACCAAATCCTATGCAACACCGAATCAGGAGCGGCACGGCACAGCGGGCACATATTGGAGGCCAGCTGGTACCCACAGGAGACACCGCGGCCCGCCTGCCTGCGAGGCCGTCCTGCCGTGCCGTCCACGCCGAGGTTCACAGCCGTGCTCGTCCCTGGAGTGGACCCGACGAGACCTTCTAAAACATCATGAACCTTAGCCCCCACAATCTGCGAGGAGCACACAACAGAAACTTGGTCAATCGAGACAACGCTCTTCATATCATCGGTGAGCACGGCGCGAAGCTGTGCAGCACCATGGGAGATGTCAGGGACTACGGAGCGCTCGCTGCCAGTAGGCTGCAGACCGTAATCGCCAATATGAATATCGAGAGAGTATTTGGCCGAGGGGGCGAGGAGGTCGATGCTGGGTATAAGATAAGCCCCAGCGAACGACGTAGCAAACGAGCCCCCAGCCACCACCCCATTGTAGGCGAAGAAAGGCCTCTCGATCATACCACCTATACTGAACCATTTGGGTCCTCGGTACATAGTGATAGCTCGCCTCGAGATCTGAGAAGGGAAAAGCAAATAAGTCGCATCTACACTGCAGCTGGTCGAGGTCTACCAACTGGTAGAACATAAACAGATCCCGTACAACAGAACATGCTACTCCTGGCCCGCGCGAGCCAGTGGCGAACTCTGACTTGACCGATTGTCTCCAAACAACGTCTGCCGCGCCTGTGAAAGCGCCAGATCGTTTTCCCATGCCGCGGCGCAAGGGCGACGCGGATGGCCATGCAAACGGTACACCGTCGAGAATAAGCCGATTGGTCGCCATCCCCCCCACTTGCTTCGGAAGAAGGGAGATCATGAGGGAGCTGGCGTGGTGAGGGACGACAGAGGTAGACTCCATGATACTGTGCATGGACATGAGGACGATGAGGGCCCCGTCGGACATCGCGGCATAGTGGCGCCTGTGGAATCCATCCACGCTGACAGCCGTTCCCTTGGGATACGACCTCGAAGCTCTACGAAGCGCGTCTGGAGGCTCCAAGGGGGGCGGCTCCTGATCGGCTTCAGCAGAGGGCCCCAGGGTCGGCGACCCTGACGCGCTAAATTTCGAGCCTTCATCGGGCGCACGTGAAAACGAGGGGTAACACCGAAGTGGGGGCTCATTCCCCGCCGTCCAGGGGCGGCTGAAACGATGCGCCTCAGGCTGCAGAAGCGAGTGAGGATCAGAAGGCACGATGCAACTTGCCGAGATGGTGGTGGTGGGTTTCCACGGACCAATATCGCGGGCCCACTAGTGGACCTTGCGGGCCCCCGACGAGATGCCCTCGAGGGGCCGAGCCCTCCAACTCTTATCCGCAGCCGCCCTCCCCCACCCAGAGAAAGCCCCAAGCAAGGAAGAAACCTGCTCAAGCAGCTCCGTGCCCTGAGCGAAGAGCGGATCAAGAAAAGCCTCAGGAGGCTCCAAAGCAAGGGGGGCCCGGCTGCACGGGGGGAGACGAGATTTAATACACCCTTGGACAAACGCGCGGGCCTGGCCGCAGAGGTCAGCAAAGTCCCCTATGTTATTGTTGATGATGTCGGGTGGTTCCAGCAACAAATGCGCCGCGTGCAGAGCTGATCTTCGCTCCCCACGCGGCTGCCTGAGAGCTTCGGCGAGAAAGATGCGGCAGGTGTTCCCCGAACACCTGACGGCGTAATGGCCTGGTTGTCGAGCCACCCTGTTGTCTTTATCAAGCATCGATTTCCAAGCCCGCTTGGGAAGGCGGCCCCTGGCCCCCCAAACGGGCAGAGAACATTGCCGGTCGGCGACCAACTCCGACTCCGCTCTTCCAGCCCAACTCCGATAAGGACGGTTCAAGCGCTTCTGAGTGGAGCCCCTGGAGGCCCCATTCCTGACGAGTCCAAGACCATATTGTTCGCAGTCCAGTTTCTCATCCCAGCTCGGAGGCTCGGGGGCAGGGCCGATTGCGCACTCAACAGGGGTCGGTAGTGGCTTTGCACATCCCAAGGCTTGCAATCGTGCAATCTGCGGAAAGAATGAGACACGAACTGGCTTGCGCGGCTTGGTCGCCTCCAGGCAGAGCTCGGTGCACTCAATGGCCTTGGACAGGCCGAACGAGACGAGCAAATAGTCGAGCTGGCGCACTCCTTGCGTAGAAGTGCCCGCACAGGTGTTGGAGGCGTCGGGGTATACGATGGTAGCAGGCAGGATGCTGACTAGTTCCAACGCCGCCAGCTCATCAGGTTCCACTTGGAAATCTGCACCAAGAATGAACGACCCCTGGCACGAAGACAGCAGCGCCCCGGTGGGTGAGAGGATAACAAGGCTCTGCGCCGAAAGGCCCCCCGAATCTTTAATGCACCCACTGGCGGCCAATAATTTCACTCCACCTGGAACTTGAACGACAGCGGCGGCAACTCTATGAGGGGCGACGCATGGCCCATCGGGGATGCCATGGAAGCCCAAGAACTCACGAGCGAGGATAGAAACACCACCATAAGAGCCTTGGCATCTCCCCTGGAAGCTGACAGAAACCGGATGTCCAACCAGAGCGAGCGGCCCGCTGGGGGGCTTCATTCGCCTGACCAGGTGAGCCTCCTGAATCAAAACCACGCGTGCGTTTGTCCTGGATAACCAGGTCTTCGCACTACCCTGGCCAGTGCAACTTGCAGTCTCGAAACAAAGTTCAAGACTGTCCGTGCGAGCTGGGACCCTGACACATGTGCAACAGTCCAAGGAGGGCTCCTTGGAGGCGGGCGGGCGAACAAGCCTTGAAATGGCGGGGGATTTTCACCCACCAAAACAGTCATCGTTTGTACTGGCCCCCCTCGCTACCTCAAGCCCCGCACAGGCCGTGTCGGGGAGCGAGGGGAATTCAGGTTGAAGCAGCGGCGGCAGGAGGTGTCAAGAGTGCGGCACGAGCCCGCTCACGAACGTGAGCGACGGGGGCCTCTGCCTCAGGAGCGGAGTCAGGGGCTCCCTGTCCACCATCAGCAGCGCCGTCGCCATCCTTTTCCAGGCCTGGCCCATCTGCGCCGTCGGCTGGATCGCGCGCGCAGGTTCCTGGGGCTGTCGTAGGTGCCGCGTCTCCAGTGCCTCCGACCTTGCGCTTCTTGGCGGCGGGCCTCTTGCGGCGCTCCGCGTGGTCGGCTCGAACCATGTCGATCGAGGCCGCCATGCTGGAGAACAGCTCCTTGGCGAGAGTGGGAAGTCCCGACTGGAGCTCAGCACGACGCTTCCGGGACTCCTCGCGGTCAGAGGCCGACAGTTCGTAGTCCGTGTCGCCCAGGGCGAGAAGCCCGTCGCCGTCGGTGAGCAGGATGGCGTCAGGCTTGCCGTCCAGCACGTCGCGAATACTGATACCACCGCGCACAGGAGGGGCAACGGCAGGCGACGGCTGGATGACCGCCTTGTGGATTGTGTGGCTTGTCTTGTGCGTCGAGCTCGGCCTGGGCATCAGCCGCCGCCGTGGCGTAGTCGGCGGGCCACTTCTTGGCCTTCTCCAGGTTGTTGAGCTCTCGGTTGGGACGCTTCTCGAAGATGCGCACCTGCTGGAGCGCCTCGTTGGCCTGTCGTTCCAAGGGCTTCTCCACTGGCCCTTTGGCAGCGTCAAGCTTCTGCTTCTTCCAGGCCTGGCACTAGGACTTTGCGCCCTCTTCGCCGAATTTGGTGGCCATGGCCAGCAGCACATCGATTTCGGCGATCGCGATGTCGGATGGCATGGTGGCGCCCCCCAGGAGCGCGAGCGCCTTTCCGCCACTTCCTCCACGCTGCCAGTTCTTCCTGCCGCCGCCCGTCTCGCCAGAGTGGCCCCCGAACTTGTCATCGACAATTTCGTAGCGTGGGTGGCGGCAGTGCTTGCACCACTTGAACCAACTGAGGTTCTTGGCGCAGCCACAGTCCGCGCGTGCACACTTCCATCTTTCTCTTTTTTTTTGTTCTCTCTCTCTCTCTCTCTCCCCCCCAACTCCTGTGTCACGTCGCGAGACATCATTCTTGCACCACGACCAGCTGCCACCTGCCATGGCTCCGTCGTGCTATGCAATCGAGCGAAAGGGGACTCGAGCCAAACTGGCCCGCGTTCACCCAGCCGTCCTGAATCGCTGGCGAACGAAAACCCAAAAGCCTGAGCCAGAACGGCTAGGCGGAGGAGGAGGAGGTGGCGGAGGATGAAGACAAGGAGGAGGAGGAGGAAGAGGAGGAGGAGGAGGAGTGGGAGGAGGAGGAGGAAGAGGAGGAGGAGGAGGAGGAGGAGGAGGAGGAAGAGGAAGAGGAAGAGGAAGAAGAATATTAATAATAATAATAATAATAATAATCAGAAGAAGAATAATAATAATAAGAAGAAGAATAATAAGAATAATAATAAGAAGAATAATAAGAATAAAAAGAAGAAGAAGAATAAGAAGAATAATAAGAAGAAGACGACGAAAAAGAATAATAAGAAGACTAATAAGAAGAATAATGATAATAATAATAATAAGAGTAATGATAATAATAATAAGAATAAGAAGAATACGAAAAAGAAGAAGAAGAAACATAATAATAATAAGAATATGAAGAAGAAGAATAAGAATAATAAGAAGAATAAGAAAACGAAAAAGAAGAAACATAAGAAGAATAAGAAAAAGAATAATAAAAATAATAATAAGAAGAAGAAGAAGAAGAAAAAGAAGAGGAGGAGGAGGAGGAGGAAGAGGAGGAGGAGGGGGGGGGGGGGGGGAGGAGGAGGAGGAGGAGGAGGAGGAGGAGGAGGAGGAGGAGGAGGGAGGAAAAGGACGGAAGGAGGAGGAGGAGGAGGAGGAGAAGGAGGAGGAGGGAGGAAAAGGAAAAGGAAGAGGAGGAGGAGGAGGAGGAGGAGGAGGAGGAGGAGGAGGAGGCGGAGGAGGAGGAGGAGGAGGAGGAGGAGGAGGAGGGAGGAGGAGGGAGGAAGGAGGAGGAGGAGGAGGAGGAGGAGGAAGGAGGAGGAAGGAGGAGGGAGGAGGGAGGAGGAGGGAGGAGGAGGGAGGAGGAGAAGGAGGATAAGGAGGAGGGAGGAGGAGGAGGAGTAAGGAGGAGGAGGGAGGAGCTTCCGCCCCTCGGCCCTCCAGGCGGCCCGCGGGGCGAGGGCGCGCGGCCCTGGCAGGCGCGGTACCGGCGCTTCTTCCCCGCGGGCGCGCACGGAGGACGGTCCCGAGGGGGGGGGGGTCGCAGGGCTCGTGTGATGATGTTCCGACCTACTTTTAAGAAGTCGGGCCTCTCCCTATTCCCTCTTCCCTCTACGGGAGGGGGGTTCAAAATTATTCTGCGGGGGTCCCTTCGCGCCCCCGCGAGGCCACCGCGCAGGGCCGATCTCCGTCGCGGGCGCTTCGGTGGGAGGCGGCCACGGAGGGTCGCCCGGGCGGAAAGGGGGGGGGGGGCGAGAAGGAGAAGGCCTTCTCAGAAGGCGGCGGGGCCTCTCACAACCCCCCCGACCTATTTTTAAGTCGGGCCTGTCCCTCTTCCCTCTACGGGAGGAGTATTCAACATTGGTAAAACATAGCCTGGGGGACCATTGCGTGAGCATTGTTGATTCTATGTGGGGTATATGTTAGGGGTATTTTTCATGCTTCGTCCAGAATCCGCCTGTAGGGGGACACGCCCGACCTACACTTACTTTGCCCTTGACCACCAGAAGGAATTTGGAGCACCAAGAACGCACCGAAGCTGGAGGGTTTTCACGTGTCGGACCCTGGGAGGCGATACTTATTCGACATTGTTTCGACCCTTCTTTGGGTGCTCGAAATTACTTCTCGGATGTGGTCCTTCAGTACGATGGAAACAACGTAAGGCTCGTGTTGGTTCCTCCGATTCGATTCGATTTCGATGCGACTTCGGTGGCTTCCGATGCCGATTCCATTCGACTTTGGATTCCGATCCGGGCTCCGGTTTCTCAACGGAGGCCTACCAGCCTGCCGATTTCCGCCCGATTTTTTCCCGTCACGGTTGCCGATGTCCGCCGAGCCGATTCATTTCGATTGCCGATCCGACTTATCGATTCGACCCTGGGCTCTCCTGGGGTCGACTCAGAAGCGAAAGACAGACAGACACATGCATGAATCCGCGCTGGTTTTCGAGAGTGCGCATTGCGCGAACGTTCGTATCATGAGGCGGGTCTCGCGGACGGTGAGGGGTCGTATTCATGTACGTGGTTGGGCGCGAACGTCTTTCGTTGGCTCCCTAGCGACCAAAGACGCACTGCGATGCAGCGAAGACGGCGCCCAGAGATGCAGGCCTGATGGAGAGGACCCAAACGTGTTGGGCAAACATCGAGACAGGCTTTGCGCAGTTTTCGGCCTCTGGGGGATCTCGCGGGGCGGCGGGGGCGTCCAGAAACGACGCGGCATGAACAACGGAATTCGGGGAAGAAAAGGTCGGGGACTTCCAGGGACCCTTTTTGGAAGAACGTCGAGACATCGGATCTGTGGGAGAGGGGGGAGGAGGGAGGGCGAGGAGAAGGACGAGGACGAGGGGGCGGATGCGAGTTGAAGAGGGGGACGCGGGGCGCTGCGGATTCAAAGCGAGGATCCGACACTGCACGGATGCAGAAAAAAACGAATTGGAGCTGCCGGCCGTTTCTGGTCGCTCGGGAGGGGTCGAGGCCTCTCGGAGGGGCTCCGTGCTGAAGTGAAGCAGGCGTCGGATGTGTGGGTCCACGCCGCCCTGGTCGGTTTCCGAGTCCTCCCCCTTGTTCGATCCTCGATCTTCCGGAGGGCCCTCGCCTCCGGTCACGTTTTCGGGGCCTCCGTCGAAGCCCCCTTGAGGGGCAGGAGCGTGCCTGTGGCGTGTCGACATGCTGCAGCCATATGTGGGCCTGGCCTCTTCCAGACCCCCTTGGACCCTTAGACCACCAAACACACATCCCAAGCCGTCCAGAACCACCCTCCTCGGTCCTCCATCCCCCCCCCTTCTCAGAGGAGGAAAACTACCCATGCCTCCACCCTCCCCTCGCTCTCCCCTTTGGGGGCCTCCTGGTTCGCCTCGAAGTCCTGGTCAGAACGCACCCCAGGAGAGGTCCGGGGAGCAGCGGTGTCGGTACCTGTTGCTTGCCTCAAACGACGCGAAGATCGGGACAAAATCGGATCGGGATAACTCGAAATCTCTGAGAATCGGCGGGTTTGGAGGTTGAATTGGGCGCCGCGGCCGCTCCAGAGCGTTCCGGAACGCTCTGAGAGCGCTCTGGAACGCTCTGGAAGGCCAATGCCTCCTGGAACGCTCCCCCTCGATCTCCCGGAAGGCCAATGCCTCGGACGCCACGGGTTTCAGTGCCGCGGCGTGGGCCCCCCGAGAGGTCTCGACCCCTTCGGCCGGGGGGCGGGTCTCCATGCGGAGCTGCGTCTCGTGGCGGTCCTCGGGCCGGGAAGCGGCTTCCACGTGACGAGTGCGTCGGAATCCGCCCGTCGGCTGTTGCTTCCGACTTCGGGCAGGGGAGTCCACGTCGTGCTGCCTCTCCAACCCCGTCTCCCTGTGCGTCTCCGGTCGGCGGCGGCCGAGGGGGGGCTGATGATTCGATGGGGGTGGCATCATGGCGGGGGCCGTGATATCTCCCGAGATGCCATGGCGCCTGCTTGTTTCAGTACGTCCCGTGCCCCCCATGGGGCCGCGCACGCGCCGCCGGCCATGACTTGTGCCTCGCCACCCCTCTTGGGCGCCCCCCTCTTGGACGACCCCGATCTCCACCCCCGTCTCTCCCTATGCGCTGCGTCTCTGGAGGACGCATTGTGTCAATCTCTGGGCATTTGTGCTGGATGCTGGCATCGGGGACCGATATTGCGGGCAGCCGAGCGTGTATCCGTTGCGAAAGTCTGCCCCCGCGGAGGGGCCAAGGCCTGTGGGGCACGCGGCATTGCACAGCGCAGGGATCCACGCGTATTCTCCCCTCCTCCCCTTCGGAGGGCGACAGTTATACGATGGAATGCGCTGCTCCTGGCCAGCTCGATCCTGGGCCCAGGATGGGCCTGGCCAGGATCGGTGTAACTAGGCATACAGTTGGCGCCCTCCTGCCCTTCGCCTCCCCCCCCCTCCTCCCTGCTCCCTTGGACCCCCAACCACCCGATTTTCACGCAACGTCGACCCCCAGAGGTCTCCTGCCCTCGGACCGCCTTGTCATCCTGAGCCGTTCTCTGACGGTCCCGGGGCCTGGCGAGGCCGAAAGCTGGCAAGGCACGTCCTCGTCACGCTTTTTTTCACGGCGGGGAGGGGGGTCTGTGGGTCGTTCGCGGCAGGAGACGCGCTCGACCTGGTGGTCGAGGCCAGGGGCGTCCACGGCGGTGGCGTTGCCAGCGGGGACTCCGGCGAGCCCAGCGACCATGAGGCGGCTGCGGCCGCGGCCGCCGCTCGCGATGCGCCCGCCGCTGGAAGAGACTTTCTGAGTGGCGGACGCAACGCGGCGGAACAGGTTCGGTCCCCTTCGGAGGCGAACTCGTCCCAGTTGTCGGGGGTGGATAGACCTCCTACCCTGACACGTCGATTAGTGAATTGGCCGTTTTCGGTGTGCGCGAGAGGCGTCGCGGCCGTTGCTTTTGCGGGTCCAGGTCCGTCGGTTTCGGTCGTAGGCCGTTTTCTTTACAGGAAGGTTTACTAAAGGGAGGATTGTCCACCGCCGACGTTGGTGGTGTGTTGCGACAGTTTGTTGGGGTCGCCGCGTCGGCCTGGAGGGTACAGCGCTGCACAGTGCAGCATCGGCCTTCGCCGTTCACCCCTTTCGATTGGGGTTGCGGATCGGTCCTGCGATTTTTGTTGTGCCGCCCCTCCATTGCACAGCAGTTTGCAGTGCGGGGAAAGTTGAGAAGCAGGGGTAAAGCAAGTCTGTTTTCTTCTGGCTTCGTTGCTTGCTGTCCTTCTGGCTCGTGCGTCCACGTCCGCGATCGCCCCCATGGAGAAGCTGCGGATCGCTGTGGGGGTCCTGTCTGGTTCTGTGCGGGGCCTCCCTGGCGCCTCCTTGGAGCTCCCACCCAGTGGCAGGTTGAGCTGCTGTTCTCCGCGCCTTTCGTCTTGGCCGCGCCTGCGGGCGGGTGGCGGCCGCTGCGACGCCGTCCAGTATGCGGGCCATCAGTGCCCGCCCAGGAGGCGCGGCAATTAGGCTGGGCCCTGCAGTTGCCGTCATGCGACGAGCTGGCAGAGGTTCCCCGCCGCAATCGCGGCATCCCTCGACCAGGCACTCGGCCTGCACGGGCACGGTTTGGACGAGGCTCGCGCCGGGAGCCTCGAGCATCGGCGCCAGCGCAAGCGCGTGCTGGACCCGTTTTGGGCGTGCCAGTTCGCGGGGTTGCCCGCGCACGTTCGAAGCTCTTTCGGTTCTAGAAGCAGGTTGCTGCTGGTGGAGACTCCTGGCTTCTGGTGGACCCACAGAGCGGTTTCCCACTCTTGGGCCAAATCCGACGTACCGGGGCACTCCCGCGCATTACGCTCTCTGATCGCGCCGAGACAGCAGCTACGTTGCCGGGTCCGGCGTGCTTGCTGCACGCTGAAACGCTTCGCCGCGCGCGGCGGCCTGCCGCTGTGGAGCAATCGGTTCAGGCAGTGCGCCAAGCAAACATGCCAGAATAAGGCCATGGATGCTTACGCTAGGTGGCGTCCTCTGCGTGACACGTGCGTCCTCACAGCCTGATCTCCAGCCGGCGAGGGCTGGAAAAAGGTGTTTCGAGGAAGGTCCGCTGCATCGACGACCCCACAGAGTCCATATACAAGCAGCTGTTTCCGTGGGCGCAGACACGACCGTTTTTTGTGGCGCCAAGATCGAAGAGGGGATTTCGTTTGGAAAACATTGAGATGGGCCCAGATTGTCCTGGAGAACTGCGTGCCGCAATTTGAAGTGAATTTTGTGAGGGCTGTTTTATGCCAGGAATGAAGATAACAAAAAATCCACATGAAATGAAAATCGTCTTTCGCTCGCCGTTTCGGGGTTTTGCATTGACAGAGATCCACGCGAAAATCCGTCGCAACACGTCTGCAAGGCCGGTGCAGTGACAGTTTAGACCAGTTCGTTGCCGCCCTGAGCAAGGTTATTTTCGCGGGCGCTGGCGGATCCGCGCTTCGCAAAATCGATGTTGTTGCGAGTGTTTGTTTTTGTTTGTTTCGATCTCTCTCCCTTACGAGCTCGCACTTGCAATTCGCAGTGGTCATTTGGGACGCGGCCGAAACAGTTCCGACGAGCTCCAGCTCTTGGCGTGCCCCTTTGGCGCGGCCGCTTCGATGTACAACTGCGAAAGGTTCAGCGCTGCCGTCTGGGCTATTATTAGCACGGCTGTTCCACGTCATGTTTCTCCGGCTCGTGAACGACCCGTACGGCGCGGACCAGTTGCTTGTCGGGGCCCCATACTTGGGCTCACCATTCGACACCAACGACGCGGCGAATGAGGTGATTCCAGATTTATTGGGATGGGAAATGGATTTTTCGAAGCGGGTGTCCGGTTCCAATGTTTCGCAAACCGTAAGAGTGGATTGCGCAATTGCGCGGGGCAGTTGCGCCGTGCGTTTGTCGAGTGGTTCCGAGAAGCTCGCGCGGTGGAAGGTGAAAATCGCGCCATTCTCGGCCGGGCCAGGGCGCGATGTCCACTGCAGAAGCCAAGAACAATCCGGGGGTCTTCGGAACTTTTCGGACGCGCTGCGCGCCTGTACCTGGCTTCGCTTTTAAAAGAGCGTTTCGGAGCGAATCTTTAGTCTTTTAAGCCGCGTTATTCATGCGTCGCGTCAATGACTTCGCTTGCTCGGGAGCGTTTCCTCCCGGGCGGCATTCTGCGCGAGGCGTTCGCTGCCTGGGGGCGCCGCCAGGGATGGCAATGCGGCGCGGGCCCTGCTTGGCTCAGTTGAGCGGAAGACCGGGACAAATCGGAACCAGAGATTCTGGGGGAGCTCCAGAGAAAAATTCTAGACGCTTCGCGCATCCCCACCAGCCCGTCCAGAAACGACGCCCAGGCGAGTAGAGGGTCGTCCTGACGGGCTTTTCGGCGTCTTGGGTGCCTCGGGGGGCCCTCTGTGGGCTGTTCGGGATCCTCTTTGGGGCCTCTTGGGGGCCTCTAGGGGCCTCTTGGGGCCATCTTTGGGCCTCTTGGGGGTCTCTTGGGGGCCTCCTGGGGGCCTCTTGGGCGGCCTCTTGGGGCCATCTTGGGGCCATCCTGCGGCCTCTTGGGGCATCCTGGGGGCCTCTTGCGGCCATCGTGGAGGAAATCGATCACAGAAGAGGGGGGCCTTAATTAGCGTTGCCCCCTGAGAAGGCCAAAATGGGCCCAAAACCATAGTAAAATCAATGTTTTTGGCTTCCTCGCCGAGGCCGTTTTGGACGCTCTGACCGCTCCCCGCCCCTCCGGTCCAGGTCAGTGGGGAGGGGGTGGGGGGAGGGGTAAACCCCTCCCCGAAGGGGAAGAGGGAGGGGTGGAAGAGGAAACTCGTTAAACCACCGACGCCCTAAAGGGCTGGTGGGATTGAACGCCGATTTGTGGAGCGTAGCGCGCGCATTCGCAGAAGTGCCCAAGGGGTGTTCGAGGGGTTGAGGAGCCCAAGTGACACATGGGCGCTCAATTCAACTGTTGAGGGCGGGCAGAAAATCTGGCGTGCACGAGCATTGTGAGCGGGTGCGCGGCTTGCACGGGGGACGCCGTAGGTTTGCGTTTCAGGGGCTTGGGCGCTGGCCGATGCGTTGATGGGGGGCCCGAGAATGCGTCGCACATATTACGCCTGTGGCGCCATGGAGGCCGCATTTGCGGTTGCAGTTGGGCGGGCGCCCCGCCGCGCGCACCGCGGCGACAGCTCTCTTGGGCGCCCGCCCGCCGCCGTGGACGTAGCGGGCCCACCTAGTCTCTCGGTCGGCGCGCGGCGGGTCGGCAGCCACGACGCTGGCGGCCTGAAAATGCTTCGAAAGTGTTTCTCCCCGAGCCCGGGGCTTTTGCACGCTTTCGGTGGCGCGCGCAGCTCGGAGAAAAATCGCCTTGTCCGTCGGCGGCCAGTTGGCTGTCGTCGCGCAGAAGCACCGGCGGATGGCGCGGTCCACGCTCAGCGCAGAGAGCGTGTCCATGAGCGTGGACTCGTCGAGGGGCAGGAGGAAGGACCTCGCGGTTCGGGCCATCGCGGCCCGCGCTGTCCACAGCCCCCACCCTGGGCGCGCGAGGACCTGCTGGGCGCCGCCGCAGCGCGATTTCAGAGAATCTCGGAACCAGAAATCCGGGCGCGCCAAATGTCGCGGGCCGAAAAACTTCCAGAGAGTTTCGGCCAGCTCCGAGGTTTTGGGTTTATGGGAATGTTTCACGCGGGGTGGCAAGTTCAGAGATTTCCAGAGATTCTCAGAGAAGTTCGGGCGCGAGAATTTGGCGCGCCCTGGTTGCTGGTACTGTGAATATCTGAAAAGCGGTTCCTTAGGTTTTACCAGGTTTCCAGGCGTCCTACTGTCAGCCAGAGACGAGCGACTGGCTGGCGCCGCGCCCGATGCTTCCGGAGTTGCGCACTCGGTCCTCGATTCCCTGGGGCCCGCGGGCCCTTGGGCCAATCGCGAGGTCGCCGAGGCCCCCAGGCGGTTGCGCGCGATTGTCTCGGAAACCGGAGTTGGGCATCCATGGTGGACGCCCGCGCGTACGCGCTAGGTGTCCGCGAGATTGCTCGGCGGCGGATCTTGCATGGCGCGGGGACTTTCCAAAGACTTTCCGGGGTGTTCTCTACGGTTATTTCGGCGCGTTCGGGAACCTTGGGGCGGCGCGGGGAAGTCGCCCGGCCGCGCGCAGGACTTTTTTCCAATGCCTTTTTGGGCATCATCGCGGTGTTGCGTGGCCGAAGAGGTCACTGAGCAACGCGCAATTTGACATTTTCGCGTTTTTTTCGTTGCGTTGGTTGCGTGATTGTTTTGGCGGTCCGCCTCCTTGGGGCCCCCTTGGGGCCTCAAGTTTGTTTTGTTGACGTCGGGTCTTCTGGAGTGAAAGGCGTTTGGCGCTGAATGCTCTCGGGCGCGCGCGTGGCCAAATACGCGCCGCGGCTTCATCCGCGCCGGGGCGCATTTCTTCCCTCGCGAAGCCGATGGCGCCCAAGGCGTGGCAGGCCCGTTCGGCGGCGCCCCCGGTGATTTGCAAGCACCGAGCATGATTTTTATCCCGGTCAAATTTCGCCCCGACCCTGGCTTCATTTTACTGGCGGGCGCCCGAGGTCGAACGCCGCCGTTCCCGAGGCAGCGCGGAAAGTGCCTTGCCCTCACAGGAACCAGGTGGCCATCTGGGAGCTGCTCGTCGCAGTCTGCGCGATCAAGTGGCTGCTCGGCCAGAACATGGGCGAGTTCGGAGCGTTGCTCTCCGCAGGAAGCGCCGCGGCCTCCGGCACTTCGATCCCGGATTC